AATTATGTGACGTAGTTCGGCTTGCAGTGGCGGCCCAATCAATAAATCATCATTCAATGACTTCCCATTGCTTCCCTTACAGGAGGCATCAAACACTACTCGGACCTTGGTAGTATCCTTATCTTCCCGGACTACTGCGTGGTGTGGTAAGTAAATAGCTGTTTCCTTAAATTTATCCTTCTCTGTAACTTTTACCATATGATTTAAGTTTAAATACTCCCTTATAACTTGTGTGTAATCCTCTTTTAACTTAATGTTCTTTTGCAATTTTAATTCTAAATTTCTCAATCTTTTTTCAGCTATTTTCCTGAACTCACCACGCATGCAGTCCGGATTGGCCATACGAAACGGCAGTCTTACGATGAACCGACCGTCTCCATCCCGTTTCGTAGTATCCTCAAATAATTTCTCACATTTAATTTCATCATCTGTGAGCATTTTTTTTGTTACAGGTGGTTCGGCTTCGAGTTCCCAAAACCTCTTCAGCATATTGTCCACTTCCAGATACGAATGCATCACAGTTATGTGAGAATGGATATTTGACGTGCTATCTACCTCACAGACCCCAGATATTATCCAACCGAAAGCAGTATCCTGCGCCAAGAGAATCCGTTGAGGTTTCTTTTAATGCCTTCCTGAATAATTTGACTGTATATCTCCGCACCTAATAAGATGTCAATCTTATTAGGCGTATGATACTCAGGGTCAGCCAGATCATCCAGAGTCAGGTTTTCCCATCTTACCCTAGTTGTCTTCGCAACTGGGAGAAGAGACGTAACCGACTTCAGGACATGTGCATTAACCTTAACTTGAAACCTAGGATCAACTCTCGACCTTAAATTAATTTTCACTGTGGACTTGGAAGTCACACTTTTATCTCCACCTACACCAACTACGGTATTTTTGGCCGCACGCCTTTTTAAACCTAATTGCTGCACCATAGCCTCGGTAATAAAAGAACCTTGCGACCCCTGATCTAATAAGGCCCTAACTGGGAAATAAGTACCGTCTCTCGACTCAGCTTGCACCACAGCTGTAGTTAATAAAACCATTTTAGAACAGTTCCCTGTCGAAAAACAAGACACAAGTTGCTTATCTAAACTTTCTGCTTGCACAGATAACTTATTACTGCTTGCAGCAGTATCCTCCTCAGTTGACCTTCGACTGGTCGACGAGGTTGTTTGATGAATCGTCTCAACTTCAGCACTACCAGAACCAGAATCACCACTGGGATGTAATAAAGAATGATGTCGACGTTTACACACTTGGCATCGGACAATATTTTTACACATTTTAGCGGAATGGTTGCTATTTAAACAAATAAAACATAAGTTTTTATCTAACACGAACTCACGTCGTTTCTCATTACTTTCTTTTCCGAATTTTTTGCACGCAGTTATTTTATGATCCGCACTGCAATACGCACACGATATAATCGGTTTATTTTTAACAACATGAAAAGATTTAGTAAATTTTTTCTCACTGTGATGTACCTTAGAATCGATATTTTCTAGACCTCTAAAACGCCCTATTAAAAAATTGGAAAATTGTTGAAACGTGGGTAATTCGTCACTTGGATCTGAAGATACCTTTAACTCCCATGCCTTTCGCGTATCCTTATCTAATTTAGCGCTTATAATGTGGATAATCAGGATATCCCAAGATGAAACATCCACACCAATATTTTTTATTGAGTCTAAACAATCTGAAGTTGTACTAATTAAGTTTTTAATTTCAGATGCTGATTCAGACGACAAACTTTTTTGACTTAGTAGACGCTTCAAGATGCCGTTCGCCAAAAACCTTTTATTATTATACATACTATCTAATTTCTCCCACGCAACTTGATAACTATCCGACGTCACCTTAATGTTGCGTAATAGTTGCTCGGCTTCCCCGGTTAAATGTCCCCTTAAATAATAAAATCTTTGGGCATCATCCAGTGACTTGTTTTCATGCACAAGCCCTAAAAACAAATCTCTGAATGTCTGCCACTCTGTGTACTTACCGGAAAAGGTAGGTATTTTTATTTCAGGCAACTTGAAACGTCTTTCTGAACTCTCACATTGACTATTTGAACTTGACTTTACTTCTGACTCAAGTGTTTTTAATTTATACAACATTTCTTTTAACTCAGTCTTGAATTGAACATATAATTCTTCTACATCATCATACACACTATTTTTGTGATAATCCGAACTATACAAATCAGTTCGCTTAACCTGACTAATAATTTTAGTATGAGTGTCTGTAAACAAAGTCCACTGTTGTTCCAAGTTATCTAGCCTTGTTTCAATATAAGCAACCGTCAAACGATCCTTAGGAGACTTTTTAAAATTAGTCTTAACTTTTAGCATTTTAGCCCTTATGTCTTCCTGCAGGTCATTAAACGACTCCATTTTAAATTTTTTAATTTGACAATTTAATCACTTATAATTCTTATCAATATAGAACAGAACAGTAATTTATTCTAATTGACAAAGTTAAACTCTAAACAACTGAATTATTTTTCTAAGTCAATATTTTTACAATCCTATTTTTTCTAAGTCCAAGAAACAGATGAGCAAAATTTTACAAGTCTTTTTAACTTTAAATTCTAACTAAAATCGGGCGTGGATTCGCCGTCTCAACCAATATTTACTTAAAACTATTACAAGTCCTAAATTATTGAAATTATTCTAAGTTACTTCACTATCTTAAATTTTTCTAAGTTCCACTAATCTTTAAAATAAGGTTTAATTTTCTAGTTAATTTCTTTTATTATAATATTTAAAAATGTACTCACAATTTATCACCGCACACACTCACTCACTTGTCTTCGCTATAATGCACCTGTGGCGCCCTCTAGCGCTCCGCAACCTCCACCGCTGCTGCTTGCCGCTTCCCGTCCGTCGCTCCTCCGGGTTGTAGACACCCAGCTCCTCCACTGCCTTGGCGCCGCTCGTGGCGCCTCGCTGAGGGGATGTTCTGGACAGCAATCCACTGCCAGTAGTGACACGGGTGGTACTACTGTACCACTGACGCAGCAATAACACAAAAAACACGCCTAGCCTATCCGGTTCGAAGGACCATGAATAAACTTCCGGCAGGCTACTCATGCAAGAAATAAAACACTTAGTACAATATAAACGACTATTTACTCGTAAAACGATTCATACAAAAATAATAATTTTTAAATGCCTTATAATTTTCAGCCTAGCCAAACCACAGCGCGATTCAAAAAGTTGCATAAATCTAACAACGCCATCTAGTCGTCACCGAGGAACAATAAACTAAATATAATAATAACTGAAAATAATTATCTACAGCTTAACAATTTACATTTTTATAATATGTTTATTGGTGTGTATGTTTAATCCGGACAAATGGTGATGTGACGTTTTATAGACGTCTACGCAATTTATGTCAATAGTATGAACTTAATTATTAATTAGACATTTTTTTGTATAATATCAAAATAAATTCAGTCTCAGTCAGTACAGTCGCTGCAGATTGTTTTGGAACAGCCTAAGCATATAGGCTTATGACATGCAACGCATTTGTACCTTGTGCGTCGCTTCAGCCTTGCTGGACACACCTTACAAGTTTTTTTGTCATTTTCACCAACAGCTGACTCAGTGCGGCTAGGTTCTGGCGGTAAATCTTCGCTAAGAATCCGTTTCATTGTCAGTCTTATATTCAATTATTTTGTCAGTAATATCGTCATTCATAAAATGTCTCCACAAGGTTTCTAGGTTGGTGAATGCTCTAGGCTGTGATCTAGGTATGTCAACCAAGTTGTGGCTTAGTGAACGACAGTTACGCATCACTGGTTCATCGCTTCACCATTTAAAACCATTCTTACCTATGTAGTATCTTTGGGATTCTGTGTGTATATTATCTTGTATTGAAGATAGACCTGAATCTTGCATCGCAACTGAACTGCGGGGTGATCTTTGTCGTTGAGATTGAGTTTCTTCATCCTCAGAATGTTCTGAAGCCGAGTCATGATCACTGTACAAACAGAAATCTGGATCCACTTCTTCATATTCCACATTACTGAAGTCTCGCTCCAACTCAGCCTCTATCCACTGACTTAAGGTCTTTTCATTTGTCGAAGTATTTAGAGCTACTCGTTTTCGCTTTCGACTGTTTCCTGAAGGTCCAGGTTGATCCATCTAAAATAATAACGTACACAGTGAGGTGACGAATAAGAGACACTTAGAAAAAAATACACTAATACTGTAGTGACGTCCAATAAATCATTTACGCAAATACTGACCTCACGTCTCAGGGACACCAAACGGTCGTACAGGTACAGGTGTTGCTGCCACGAGCGCGAGCACTCGACCCTCCGATCACGCGACCGAAACCGGAAGGTAGCGGGAGGGGCGGGAGCGTCTTTAAAAAAATTAACGCCACGAAACTGATTTTTGCATCGAGGCCGTCTGTGAGACACCCACGTCACTACTTAAAGGTTAACTAATAGGTTAATAGGACTACTAGGATTTAAGTTGATTAATATAATAAATTTGTGCATAAAACAAGTGCTATATATTTGACTGTAAATGATAGTAATGTATATCATACAGATTAAAGTGATTAAATATTCAATGACTGATATGCCATATATATAATATCTAGTTCATTTGTAATTTATTTTGATATGTATATTTTCAATAGCATGCATTTTAGAGAGTGTGAACAGGAATTACATGCTTTAATTCCTCCCTCCCCTTCCCACCATCGGACAACCAAACAATTGGGCAGTCTTCACCCCTTTGTTGTCGATATTCCAAGTATTAGAACTCAACGGTTTGCTGCATCTTATGTTATACATATACCATACAGCAAATAATAATAAGGAGAGGAATAATTTTAATTCGCCGGAATCTGTCTTTCCGCCTGAATACAATCTGTGTGTCTTTAAGGCAAGAGTGAATAGCTTTTTGTTACAACATAAGATTGCTTACTGTGTGATTTATGTTTCATTGATATTCATATCCGTATAATTTTTCCAGGTTTGGGATGCGTGTTCAGATGCTTTGATATCATTCAGTAGTTCTGATGTTCAAGACGATGATGTTGCCTACATAGTTGAAAATGATGTTTTGCTGTCCGCAATTGATAAAGAATTGAAAAGTTCTGATATTAAGAATGTTGATATAGTTTACGGAGCAAAAATTTCGGGATATGATCTACCAAAAATTAATGATACAAAAATGGAAAGCACAGTCAAAATGAGTAATGGAGATACCTACAAGTGCCATTTACTGGTAAGTACCTCAGATTTTTTTATTAGCTATAATGTAACCAGTTTTACTTGAACTACATATGTAAAAATATGTAGTTACAAAAGTCTTACTATCACTAATTCTTATAAAGGCTACTCCTAAGAAGATATTTTAAATATATACATGTATATTTGAATTATTATTACACTCTTTCTACTTCTCCAGTCCTTAAACAGTGGACTGTTTATGGAGTGAAGAAGTAGAAAAAGAGTGCCCATCACACTCCTAGAAATGTGCAATGGAGCATGGACCATGTTATCATACTTAGCCTTTTTCTTCACACATGTGAAGTTATTCTTTCTTAAGAAGGAGCAGCTACTAGATGGTTCTGGATGGAATGGATATGTGTGTGAATGTTCTCTTGATCTTTACAATATGTGCAAAAGTGAAACAGCAAACGCAATGTATGCTACATAATCTATATGATTGCCATATGCATTAGGAAAGTGCCCTTTATCAAACACATTGGTAACTTATTTTTTAAGTTTTGATTTCATGAACATAAGTATTTATGGTATTATATAATTTTATAAACAACACAATATTTACAATTTGTGACAATTTTTTTAATCTTAGATGTACCTGTTATGAAAGTCAACTTTATTTGTATATAAAAGTAAAGTTTTTAAAAGTTTATTTAGAACACTTTCATAGATAATCATTTAATGACAATGTACTTAAAATACATTACATTGTTTTTACCTTTCTTTTTAATCATCTATTATCAAGTTTATTTTCTATTACATTTAACCTGGACTCGGTAGTTTCAAGTAATTTGTTGATTTTTTTTGTCAAATCTGCTATTTGAGTTTTTATGTCTACCATACATATTTCTTGTATTGTGTTGATGTTCACTGACATAGGTCTGTTCCTGTTTTCTACAGAACTCGATTTAGTCCTTTTTCTTCGTTCCGCTTGTTGGTTCTCTAACGAAAATTGATCAAACATATTGCTTTTCCGTTTTACGATCCGCCTTTCGATATCTTCATCTTCTTTACATTTCCGTACACGACATTCGTAATTATTATTCCTGCGTATACTCTTTTTTGTAATATTTCGACTGGCCACCATTTTATAAATTGATGATATCAGCTCTTTGGGTATCTAAAATGAGAGAAAAGAACGTCAGAATTTCCTGCTTAAGAGCCTATACTACCTCACTGGCTTAACGTGATCCTCCGGACAAATATAGCAGCATTATAGAAAAACCGCTGGTATTCACAAAATACTTCAAATTAGATCATGAAACTTTGCATACTGACTGAAGTAACTATAAAGCAGGTCTTATGTTTTTTTATTACCATTATTTTTACCGTAAATTACCTGAACTATCGGCGTCCTGAAGCTTGTTCCCTGCCGCACGATACCCTCCCCTCTCAGTCTCGCTTCGGCTTTCGAACGAGAAAGCTGTGTCGCTTGCGCTCAGAATACACATTACGAAACAGGACGACGTAAACTCAAAATGGGAAATAACCGTAATAAAAATAAGAAGCGACTGGGTTGGTATAAAGAAACAGGCAAAAATATTATGATAAACCTAATGAAATTAGTATCTACTTAAAGTATTAGTGATTACAAACATGTAGGTAGATAGCATAGGACGCGCGGGGAAGTGGGGGCGAAATTAGAATTTGAGCTGAGGTAGTATAGGCTCTTAAACTCTTTTCGTGATAGTTTACTTACTCGATTTTCCCTTGGGTCGTTGGGTCGAATGTTGAGTGTCCGCATGTGAGATGCTGTTAGTAACGCTCCCCAACGCAATACGGCTAATAACTGCTTAGGTGCGCAGGTTAACAAAGAACTAAATAGCATGCTTTCTAGATGCGCTACTAATTGCGTCTGACGCACCAGTCTGTCTAGACCAGCACTTTCTTGTAAAGCCTGAGAAAAAATAAAAATATATTGTTTTATCGTAATAAATAACGTAATGGGAAATAACGATATTGCAAACACAGTATAAATACCTGTATATCGCTTACTGCCAATCCAACTAGCAAGTTTGTCAATATGACAGTAACAAGCAAGACAAATATCAAGAACATTCCATGCGCTGTAAAGGGATATTGGATCTTGGAGGCGGTTCCGTTGTCATAGAATATGTCCTCATACTCCAGTTCACCGGACATCATCATTACAGTCTTGACCAGGCCGGCGGGAAGGTGAAATGCGGGGTAGTTGCTAAATAACACACTGAATGCAAGACCGAACGCTATTAATAGGCAGCTATACGCCAGAAGAAACGTTGCGAAGTTCACCGTAACTGTGAACAAATACAATACAATAATTTTAATTATCGTTACATAATTTAAAAAAAAATAGGTGTGTAAATTTTCACCATCAATTTTCTATTTAGTAGCAATTTTTTTTTAAATTCATAATCGATTTTAATGAAAACTTAATGACTGCTCATTATAATTACACGTCAATTAAAATTAGTTTGAAAATGTGAGACGAAAAAAATCATAAAAACTAGGGATGTAACGATACATAATTGTTCCGATACGATACCGGTACCGATTGTTGTAGTAAATAATCGGTGATACCGATACCTTTATCGGTGACTGAGTAGAAATAGAAAATGAAACATATAAATAATGGATAATTTTCTTCATTATGCATAAAAGTTACCTATATTTATCAGAGACTAAATCTTGAGAAGGTTGAAAACTAAAATGTCAAATCAAAATTTCAATACAAAAATTCAAAATTCAAGGAAATCATTTTTTTATTTTAAATAATCAAGAATATTATCAAGCAATCAAAGCGTCTTAAAGGTAATGAAACCGAATCAAAAATGAACCATTATTTTCTTGAACATTCCTAAGTCGGTATCGGTCCGAAAAAATCGCTGGTGGAATAAACAATTCCACAGAGAAGTCGTGCGAGGAAAAAATCTGGGAAATCGCACAGTAGTGAACCGCTAAGCATCCAGATGATGTGGATGGTAATGTGCTTTAAATTTCATAATAATAAATAGCATTCATAGTACCTGAATTCTAACCTTTGAAATTTTTCACGTATACCACAATAAATTATAAAACATTGCGATGAAACCAGTATATCTAGTAATTTTGAGGATTTTTAAGATTTTATATTTAAAATTAAATTAAATTAAAACCCAATAAAATATTTTTTTATAAATAAAAGAATATAATTTCATCTGAACCATTTTCTCAAGTTCTAAACTTTTTTTTGCGGAATATAACGCCTCCGTGGCGCAGTGATTTAGCAATGAGTTAAGAAAATAATTTTCATTACACAAAGTGGTAAAGTAAACCGATATAAAAGATAAAGTCAGTGATTACAGTTAACTTTTGGTAGATTTTTGTGAAGAAAACAGTTTTATTAAATTATTAGCAGATAATCATTTTGAAAGAGACTACTGACACTCTGAGGCAACTGAGCTAAGTAAGAACGTCGCGCGCACGTTGGTCGTTTCGCGCGCTTTTCAAACTCTTGATATCGGTTGTATATAATCGGTATCGGAGTCAATACATCCCTAATAGAAATCTATAGACATTTATCATCTAGACTTTTGAAACCTTTGCATTATAACAACATATTTACGAATTAATAATTAATATTAATTGTTATTTCCACAAGCGAATTCATTGCGTAAATGAAAAACTATTGCTTTTTCTAATACCATATACTTAGGTGTTTTCTGCCGACTTTGCAATACTGTCCGTCAAGCACGTTGTACTATTTGACGTAGTACATCTGTTTACGCATGCTTTCTGGACTTGAGTCGTGCATTTGACCTTGTTAATTATAATATATTATGGAGGAAAATGCTTAACTCCAATGTACCTGGCACTATTCTGGGTTTGCTGAGATACTGGTACGAGAACCAGACAAATAAAGTTCGACGGGTGACGGGACGGGACGGGTCGAAATTGGGACGACACAACCTCTAGTGGCTATAAACTAGAATGTGGGGTACGTCAGGGAGGGCTGACTTCTCTGGACCTTTTCAATCTTTACGTTAACGGCTTGATCAAGGAGCTTAGGAGTACCAAAATTAGATGTCACATTAATGGTGTAGCGTTTAACAACCTTAGCTACGCAGACGACATGGTGCTCCTTAGCCCATCGATCAACGGTCTTAGAAAGCTTATATTCATCTGCGAAAATTATGCTCGTTAGCACGGATTAAAATATAAGCTAAGACTGAAATGCTAGTCATTCGTGCTGGAAAGGGTCCGAGGAGAGTACCGCCAGTAAGCATAAATGGTGTGCAGGTTCGGACTGTGAAGAATATCAGGTACTTGGGTTATATGTTGTCGGAGAACCTGAGTGACGACTTGGACATTGAGCGTGAACGTAGAGCTCTAGCTATACGTTGCAACATGCTGGCGCGTCGCTTTGCCTCGTGTTCTGAGGATCTTAAGATTACTCTGTTTTAAAGTCTATTATATAAGCTTTTACACCGGACAACTTTGGATAAATTAAACCAAAAAATCCTATAACACCCTTAGAGTACAGTATAATGATGCTTTTCGTATTTTTTTTAAACATCCACGGTACTGCAGCGCGTCCACAATGTTCGCAGAGGCTGCCGTCCCAGACTTTTACGCAGTGTTACGTTGTAGAACGGCCAGTTTGTGGGAAACTGTACGTAACTCAACAAACGAATTAGTTAAAGGTCGTTGCTCAGGTGTCTCCTGACTATTTTATAAACACTGGCAGGTATGCATCAGACGCTATAGGTGATGAAAAATTATTTAAAGTACTATATATTAACTCATAATAGAGTTTAATTTGTAATTTTTTATGTGTATATAATAGTTCTAATTTATTGCCTTTGATGCAAAATGTACTTCACATAAGTGTATCTATCCACTCCTTGGTAAATAAACTTTATTATTATTATTATCTGTATCTTAGTTTTTTGTGTTTATATAATTAAAAGATAAATTACTTAATAATTTTACGAAAGGACATCACCAAAGAAATTAAAACAAGGCTTACAAATTATTGTTCCGAATATAATGAATTTTGTGTGTTGAATGTAAAGACGCAGAGGTAAAATAAAACTAGGGAAACGTTTCTTCTTTTAAAAAAAATCACTGCTAGTTACCTGTAGTGAACATCTGTACGTACAGGCCAAATGTTGGGAAACGGCCAACTATCATCATTAGTTCCAGCCAACAGAAGAATATAGTAACAGCGGCTACATCATGCTGCCAATTTGATGTAATTTTTGCTACCCCATCCTCCATGTACCATGTTGGCACCTGAAATATTATTGATTGTATTTTGATTTGTATATTTTGGGGACCAATATAAAATATAAAAATCAATTGCAGTCCGTTAGTCTCGCTAAAACTCGAAAACGGCTCAAACGATTTTGATGATTTTTTTGTGTGTATTTGAACGGTTTAAAAACTATTGAACTTGGTAGGTGGCGCTGTTGTCGAGATCCAGAAATCACCCGTGCGAAGCCGGGGCGGATCGCTAGTTACTATATAAATTTAAATAAAATTGAACTCGGTAGGTGGCGCTGTTATCGAGATCCAGAAATCTCCCGAGCGAAGCCGGGGCGGATCGCTAGTTAGTATATAAATTTAAAGAAAATTGAATTCGGTAGGTGGCGCTGTTGTCGAGATCCAGAAATCACCCGAGCGAAGCCGGGGCGGATCGCTTGTTAGTATATAAATTTAAATAAAATTGAACTCGGTAGGTGGCGCTGTTGTCGAGATCCAGAAATCACCCGAGCGAAGCCGGAGCGGATCGCTGGTTATTGTATAAATTTAAATAAAATTGAACTCGGTAGGTGGCGCTGTTGTCGAGATCCAGAAATCATCCGAGCGAAGCCGGGGCGGATCGCTAGTTACTGTATAAATTTAAATAAAATTGAACTCGGTAGGTGGCGCTGTTGTCGAGATCCAGAAATCATCCGAGCGAAGCCGGGGCGGATCGCTAGTTACTGTATAAATTTAAATAAAATTGAACTCGGTAGGTGGCGCTGTTTTCGAGATCCAGAAATCACCCGAGCGAAGCCGGGGCGGATCGCTAGTTACTGTATAAATTTAAAAAAAATTGAACTCGGTAGGTGGCGCTGTTGTCGAGATCCAGAAATCATCCGAGCGAAGCCGGGGCGGATCGCTAGTTACTATATAAATTTAAATAAAATTTAACTCGGTAGGTGGCGCTGTTGTCGAGATCCAGAAATCACCCGAGCGAAGCCGGGGGCGGATCGCTAGTTAGTATATAAATTTAAAGAAAATTGAATTCGGTAGGTGGCGCTGTTGTCGAGATCCAGAAATCACCCGTGCTAAGCCGGGGCGGATCGCTAGTTACTATATAAATTTAAATAAAATTGAACTCGGTAGGTGGCGCTGTTGTCGAGATCCAGAAATCACCCGAGCGAAGCCGGAGCGGATCGCTAGTTACTATATAAATTTAAATAAAATTGAACTCGGTAGGTGGCGCTGTTGTCGAGATCCAGAAATCACCCGAGCGAAGCCGGGGCGGATCGCTAGTTACTATATAAATTTAAATAAAATTGAACTCGGTAGGTGGCGCTGTTGTCGAGATCCAGAAATCACCCGAGCGAAGCCGGGGCGGATCGCTAGTTACTGTATAAATTTAAATAAAATTGAACTCGGTAGGTGGCGCTGTTGTCGAGATCCAGAAATCATCCGAGCGAAGCCGGGGCGGATCGCTAGTTACTGTATAAATTTAAATAAAATTGAACTCGGTAGGTGGCGCTGTTGTCGAGATCCAGAAATCACCCGAGCGAAGCCGGGGCGGATCGCTAGTTACTGTATAAATTTAAATAAAATTGAACTCGGTAGGTGGCGCTGTTGTCGAGATCCAGAAATCACCCGAGCGAAGCCGGGGCGGATCGCTAGTTACTGTATAAATTTAAATAAAATTGAACTCGGTAGGTGGCGCTGTTGTCGAGATCCAGAAATCATCCGAGCGAAGCCGGGGCGGATCGCTAGTTACTATATAAATTTAAATAAAATTGAACTCGGTAGGTGGCGCTGTTGTCGAGATCCAGAAATCACCCGAGCGAAGCCGGGGCGGATCGCTAGTTACTATATAAATTTAAATAAAATTGAACTCGGTAGGTGGCGCTGTTGTCGAGATCCAGAAATCACCCGAGCGAAGCCGGGGCGGATCGCTAGTTACTGTATAAATTTAAATAAAATTGAACTCGGTAGGTGGCGCTGTTGTCGAGATCCAGAAATCACCCGAGCGAAGCCGGGGCGGATCGCTAGTTACTGTATAAATTTAAATAAAATTTTACTCGGTAGGTGGCGCTGTTGTCGAGATCCAGAAATCACCCGAGCGAAGCCGGGGCGGATCGCTAGTTACTGTATAAATTTAAATAAAATTGAACTCGGTAGGTGGCGCTGTTGTCGAGATCCAGAAATCATCCGAGCGAAGCCGGGGCGGATCGCTAGTTACTGTATAAATTTAAATAAAATTGAACTCGGTAGGTGGCGCTGTTGTCGAGATCCAGAAATCACCCGTGCGAAGCCGGGGCGGATCGCTAGTTACTGTATAAATTTAAATAAAATTGAACTCGGTAGGTGGCGCTGTTGTCGAGATCCAGAAATCACCCGAGCGAAGCCGGGGCGGATCGCTAGTTACTGTATAAATTTAAATAAAATTGAACTCGGTAGGTGGCGCTGTTGTCGAGATCCAGAAATCACCCGAGCGAAGCCGGGGCGGATCGCTAGTTACTGTATAAATTTAAATAAAATTTTACTCGGTAGGTGGCGCTGTTGTCGAGATCCAGAAATCACCCGAGCGAAGCCGGGGCGGATCGCTAGTTACTGTATAAATTTAAATAAAATTGAACTAGGTAGGTGGCGCTGTTGTCGAGATCTAGAAATCACCCGAGCGAAGCCGGGGCGGATCGCTAGTTAGTATATAAATTTAAATAAAATTGAACTCGGTAGGTGGCGCTGTTGTCGAGATCCAGAAATCACCCGTGCGAAGCCGGGGCGCATCATTAGTATAAAATATATCATCAACGTCATCTTTGATATATGTTTCATACGTGGTAGAGCCATGCTGCAGTTATTTTAGTAGTATAGTTGTAGCACTAATGGGTCGGCTCGACCGGGGAAGGACCACGCTTTCAAGGGATACCAGCGCAAAATAGTAGCTTAATGCTGCTGTGTTTCGTATTGTGAGTGTAGAGAACCGGAGACCCTTTTTACTGGAAACGAGGTATTCCATCTTAATTTTAACGGGTGATAACGCATCTGCATTTTGATTCGTAATCGAGGAAAGACGTAGATGTCTATGAGCCACAGCAACCACTTACCATTGCATGACACTGCATTATATTATACAATATGTAACAAAAACCCTGTGGTCCCCGTTAAGTGCGTTATCAGAATCAGTATACAAAATATAGAAATAACTTTACTTCGCAAAACTCGAACATAACTTTTTTAACAATTTTCTATTTGAAAATTGTATGTGGTTGTGGCACATCGGTAAAACAGGTTTTTTTTAAATACTCTTACATCCCGACCAGTTATAATTATATAAAAATTTACTTAAACTTTTATATAATTATAAATAATTTCTATATGTTTGATAACCGATCCTGATAACGCACTTAACGGTAACCACAGGGTTTTGGTTACATGTTGCATATACCACGCTGGGCCAAAATCATTTCTTGTTTTGAAATGGTAATGAAGTTAGTGAGTGACTTAAGAGGATATTCCAGCTGCAAGTAATTTGAAAAATTGATTTATTTTCTTGCAATCTACAGACAACGGGGACTGAATGGAGCTTTGCACAAAATTATCACTTGCACACCATATAAAAAGGATTGTGTCTATTTATTATATTTGTATAGCTGGTTTTTCTGCTTCTTTAATTTTTTATACGCATCAATTTTTTTGGTTTGTTGTCTGATAACGGCAGTATTACTACAATTATAGTAATTTTAAAAGGTTCCTAGTGTTTAAAACATACAAACATGGCAGTTGGGGTTATAGATTGTATCGCAATATTTTTTCAAGCTCTTATATCCAATCATCCAAGATAACAGAGGAATACGTATGTATATTTTTATTCTTTCCATTCCATAAATATCCACTCATCGATCAACAATACCAACTGATCGAAGTATCCACTGGTTAACATGGAAGGTCCATTGGTTGTTTTTTTTTTTTGCCGTAAGTGCCAGCTCTCCTTTAACGTGAGTAATTTACGTCAGGTTTAAACAAGATGGTTATACCGCCGTGCTGCGGAAACCATAAGGTCCTTCAGACATTTCCTAAACACCGTCTTTTGCCGTACTACAGGCCCAAATGTGTTATAATAGGCAGCTTGCCTCTAGCCTTGTTTCTATTGACCCGGAAATTCATAAGAGTTGTGACTGTGCAAAGATCACTAACTACTTTCCACGACACCCACAAGATGCTATGAAATAGTGAATGTTCGCCGCCATATAGTAGCCGTGAGTGTCGTAAAAGGCGACGCACTGAAACTGAAACAAGAGATGGGCAGCAGTATCATCTTCAGCTCAAAGTAATTAAAAAACTACGGCTGCCACCCCGCCTGGCAAGCGTGGCAGCTATGGCAAATATCGAAGTGTATACGTGAGGCTAAGGTTCCGCATTGGACTTGCACATCAAAAAAGTAGAAAGTGTCTTGAGTGACGGACTGATAGACTGTAATAAATTTTTATAGCGTTGGGTGACGAACGAGCACACAGGCCACTTGATGGTAAGTGGATGCTGTGGCCCATAGACATCCACATTTAACCTCGATTAAGGATCAATATGCAAATACGTTGTCAACCCTGAGGACTTAGATGGAATGTCTCGATTCCAGTAAGAAGGGTTTCCGGTTCTCTACACTCACTATACGAAACACAGCAGCATTACGCTGCTATTTTACGCTGGTATTCTGTGAGAGCGTGGTCCTGCTCCGGTCGAGCCGACCCATTCGTGCTACAACCATAATATAGCTGCACCGTGGCTCTACCACGTAAAAATGCTGAGATATTTTTCATTATCAAACAAAAACTCACCGTACATAAAAACACGCCAATAATTATCAATATCTGCAGCCAATTCTCCCACTGCCTTATATATGCGGAGTAGTCCAGGCATAACTGAAATAGCTCCTTGCACATAAAGCATAGGTTGAGAAGGAGGATCAAGTATTGCACAGGCCGGAGATACGATGGTACAGCGCAGGTCACGTCCTCGCACAGGAATATTTCTGTAATGATATTTTTTTAACAAATGTTATATCTATTTCCTTTTTGCTTTATGTTCTACTGCTATTTCCTTTTATTATTTCCATATGAGGTATTTGTCATAGTCATTAAGCATAGACTGCACTTTATTTTTAACTTTTTTATAACAAAAGATAGCATACGCTGAATCATACAATCTTACGTCACACATTGTACAGAAACTTTTATTTTACTTATCATAAGCCAGTAAGTACTTGAACACAATCCCACCTGGTGGTAAGTGGTGATGAAGCCAAAGATGGTAAATCGCACCGTCTTAGGGCAACAAAAGCCTATTCACTCTTGCCTAGAAGACACCGCGATTGTATTCGGACAGAAAGAAATACGCCGGCTAATAATTCCACTCCTTTGAAACTCCTTCCTCTACGCATTACAAAAGAAGAAGCAAACCGTTTGTTTCTAATACGTGGAATATGGACAAAAAAGAGATGAAGACCCGCCGACCGTCTGGTTGTCCGATGGTGTAAAGGAGAGGGAACAGTTAAAGCATATAGTTCCTGAGCACACTCCGAAAATGCATCCTATAGAATGCCGAAGGGCTGGCTACTCTGCGTCAGTGCTCGAATTTACACTTGTAATTAATAAAAATCTTATAATCACACTTGCCGTCTTATTAAAGGAAGTAGTAAAAAGGCAAGTGATTATAAGAGATTTGACTGTTTCAAAAATGAGATCCCATAATAAAAATGTGAACTAGAATATAAAGTATGCGAAGACTGTTGCCGCGGCGAAGAGACTTCGTGGCAAATACTTTAAACCCAAAGTAACTATCAATAAACTACGCTTTGTAATAAGACCGTTGGATATGATAAAGATACTTACGTAAAATGTAGAGACTGTACAGAGTTATAAACAAAGCGTGGTAAACGAAGCTCATCACGAAAAATTTTCGTATTCTTCGCCACTTCAAGAATAGAAAGGTTTCTGCAACTGGATGCTTGAGAACATCTTTATGACCGACCTGAAAAGTTATATGTATATTTAAAACTTCACCCCGAATTCTTATTACACAAATTGCAAACTTATTACATTCATTGGACAATCATTTAGACCGAACAATTATTTGTTACTATACATGTAATTGTTTCATGCGGGAATAGAACTCTCCACTCAGCAGCGCCATAGATAAACCACTGCGCTGCAAAGTCCTAGTTCGCAAATATTGCACGCCTCATAACGCGAAGCGTTACTAATAACGCTTCGCGTTAGCGAGCGAGAGTAGTTTGGTCTATACGTAGCCGTATATCAAGAAAACACCCTAATTAATCCAGCTTATATTTTATGTATGGTGTGCACTTATGGATTTTCCAAACAATTAGAATTAGAATTTTAAACAAATATCTTATTATGTATGCGTACATGTTAACCTTAAAAAAACATAAACTAACTTTAATAAATTTAAAATAAATTATATTCTACAAAATTTGATAACTTCTGAATTCTATGCTAACAGAAATCGTATTGAAGATTAAAAGGCCCTTTATAGGTTAAATCAATTTAAAATTTAAATTATTCTTAAAAAGTTTTCAGTCCTATAAGTATAAAACGCCAATGAATGAGATTGAGATACTTTGTCAAATACTATGTATTAAGGTTTTAGATACTTGCACACTTTTGAGTTCTGTAGCAGATTTTATTTCCTAGATTTATGTGGATTATAACTAAATAGCATTTTCGTGACAATCAATCGCACAATGTTACGGCTTACGGCAATGTGGATACAAAGGGTTTCTTAACGAAATAATTTTACCTCAATAAAAGCCAACAACAACTCAGCTTCACCACGAGACAGGCTTGGTACTAGTGGTCGAAAGTCAATAGTAAATTCGCAGTCAACATCGCCTAGTTCATGTTCGCTCACGTGCACCGCATCATCGAGCTTCCGCAGATAACGTGGAACGACGTCGGGCACGCGACGTACGATGAACGAAAGTGCTGATACGCCACCATTTGTACGAAGGGTCACGTCTCCTCCATAGTCTGGAATAATAGGCAAAGAAATACCTATGAATAAATAAAGAATTTCAAGTGGTAGAGCCTTGCTACAGCTATATTAGTGGCTTAGCACGAATGCGTCGGCTCGACCGGGGAACGACCACGCTCTCTCAGAACACCTGCGTAAAATAGTAGCTTAACGCTGCTGTGCTTCGTATGGTTTGTACAGATCCGGAGATCCTTTTTACTGGAAACGAGGCAATCTATCTTTGTTCTCACGTAAAGTTAAAATAAAATTACATCCTATATATGTACCACTGCTGGGCACAGGCCTCCCCTCATTTCTGAGGGGTTTGAGTGCAACGAAGTGACCGCCGCACTGCGCCAATGCGTGTTGGTGAACTTCACATGTCTTCGAAATATTTTTTTCTTATTCCTCAGACATGCATGTTTCCTCACGATGTTTTCCTTCACCGCCGAGCACGTGGTAAATCAGCACTTGAAATTGCAATTAACAATTTCATTGGTGCCGGTGGGGTTCGTGCCCCGGTTACTCGCGTTCTGTTATATTTACAGCGAGCGTTAACCATCTGAGCTACCACGGCTTACGTGTGACAACACATCTGCATTTTGTTTCGTAATCGAGGATAGATGTAGATGTCTATGAGCCACAGCAATCACTTACCGTCAATCAGGTGGACTGTGTGCTCGTTTGTCACCCTTAACATATAAAATAAAGAAGGGTACTGCTGGTGACAGGTGATCTTTTAGCTTTACCCTCGTCTAGAATCTTGTCAAATGGAAAAAAAGAATTGTTATTGTAATTTTCGAAAGATACGTGTGAAATATTTGCAATTGTCGATAAAGGATTCATGAAATAATAAATACACTTTGCAAGTGCGTTGCGATCAAAAAGCAAAATTAGCTAGTCTAAACAAAGATAAACATTTGTGCCATATTGAATCCATCAAAGGCGTCATAACATGAAAGATGCTACATAGAATTCATCTAAACACTCAGTATAGCCCAGTCAAAGGGTGACTCATAATAACATTGTAGGATTGAAAGTATGGAACGTTAAAGTCACAAACTTTTAATAACTATTAAAAATTTAAATTGATCGTTATGCGGTGATTTAGGTTTTTGTTTTTATAAAATAGCTGCGACAAACGAGCACGCAGTCCACCTGATGGTAAGTGGATGCTTGCGGCCCATAGACACTTACATCTACTAGCCTCAATGAAGAAACAAAATGCAAATGCGCTGTCACCCTTAAGGACTAAGATGGAATGCCTCACATCCAGTAATAAGGGTCTCAGGTTCTCAACACTCACCATACGAAACACAGCAGCATTAAGCGCTATTTTACGCTGGTATTCTGTAATAGCGTTTCTCTTCCATGGTCTCATTCATGCTACAGCCATAATATAGCTGCAACGTTACCACGTATAAATTTTTATAAGAATCTCGCTGGTTTTAATATCATATATTGGTTTTAAGATCCTTAGAGAATATATAACATATAGGACATAAAAAAAGTAATAGACACTTTCCCGCCAGTTTTCAATTGTTTTTCTGTCCGCCAAAATGAGTGAAGAGAAGATATTCTATATATTCTGAAGTTTTATTACAAAAAAGGGAAAAATGCGACTCAGGCCGCGAAAATAATTTGTGACGTTTATGTAATGCATTGTATCGGACGTAATGCAGTTTCAGTAAGAGTTGTAGTTGTTTCAAGCGTTTTCAGTCTGGGAATATTGATGTCAAAGATGCAGCCTGCTCTGGTCGCCCTCATATGGATAAAGTCGATACCACTTCTGAAAGTATGTAGTATAAGTAGTTATGACATAGCCGAGAAATTTAGGATTGACCACAAAACAGTTTTGACCCATTTGAAAAACTCTGGCTCTACAAAAAAGCTCGATATTTGGGTACCACACGAGCTCACTGAAAGAAACTTAATGAAACCTACCCGTTTTTGAAAAGATTGATCCCTAGTGATGAAAAGTGGATCACCTACGACAAGAATGTGCAAAAAAATCATGGTCAAAGGCTCAAAGGGTAATCAACTGTAGACTGTAGCGAAACCCGGATTAACACGCAAGAAGGTGATGCTGTGAGTATGGTGGGATTGGTAGGGCATCGTTTATTATGAGCTTTTACCGCCGGGCAGAACCATCGATTCCGATCTCTCCTGCCAACAAATAACGATGGCTGATATAGATAACTCAAGCAAGAAGTTGAAAAAAAAAACGGCCGGAATTGATGAACAGAAAAGGTCTTTCATCATGATAATGTCAGACCACACACATAGTTTACCACTCAGTTAAAATTAAGAGCTTGGTTGGGAAGTTTTAATGCATCAACCATATAGTCCTAAACTTGGTCCCTCGGATTTCTACCTGTTTCGGTCTCTTCAGAATTCTTTGGGTAGTGTTTGATTAACATCAATAGAGGATTGTGAAAATTATTTGTCGCATTTTTTTGATCAAAAGTTCCAATATTTCTACAGCCACGGGATTATGTAACTGCCTACAAGATGGCAACAAAAAAAGTTAAGGCTAGGTGTACCCTTAACATTACCAATATTCCCTTTAACCGTTCCTGGTAAGCTTAAAATTCTTGTGTTAGGTAGGAGTGATTCACGACGGCAGTCGAATGGCGGATTCGAACCCACGACCTTTTGAGTTCGAAGTCCGCGCCTTGCCGTTACGCTACTGTCCCTACAAGTTATCGAACAAAATGGCTCGTATAATTTAATGTAATTATAATTAAACTTTCCAAAAAATATCTTGAATTTGTATATAAAATACGAAAAACTGTTTCCTCGACCTATTATTATTATTTCTAATAAATAAAAAAATGTTAACAATTTTTCGTGTAGATTCGGACGTTCATGAGAGTCTTAAACAAGCCAAAATTGAGTTAAAAAAATTGACATTGACTTTGATTGCAGAATAAGATTTCGCCGTAAGGGAATCCACTGCCTCATGTCGTCTCGTGGGTGTGTAAAAGGCGAAAGAGGGAAAATAAAATAGGAGACAGGCAATAGCATCTTCCTTTGTGTATAGAATTAGGGTGACAAACGAGCACACAGTCCACCTGATGGTAAGTGGTTGCTGTGGCACATAGACATCTACATTTAACCTCTATTAAGAATCAAAATGCAGATGCGTTGTCACCCTGATGACTAAGATGGAATGCCTTGATTCCACTAAAACGGGTTTCCGGATCTTTACACTGACCATACAAAACACGCAGCATCAAGCTGCTATTTTACGCTGGTATTCTGTGAGAGCGTGGTCCTTCCCCGGTCGAGCCGTATAAAATTCCTAATAGCAACTCAATAAAAACTGCGTTTGCAGTTGTGACCTGCCTGCCAAACGTCTCAACTATGGCATATTTTCCTCCTATGTTGGAGGCCTGAATTTGGCAGGACACTTTTGATAAGGTTTAAAAATTTAAAATAATAAATAATTGATTAGAAATTACAATGAAAGTAAAGATTTCTTACCTAATAGCAACAAGACGCAAGCAGAAAATTCATTCAGAGCTGCAATATGTAATGGCGTGTATCCAAAGTTGTCCGGTGCATTAGGATCCGCACCAACTGATAGTAGGAGTCGCGCCACGTCACAAGCCCGTGCTCCTCTTACAATAGAACCGTGTAATGGGGTTCTGCCATCAATATCTCTTGCACGTACATCAGCCCTTCTGCCGACTAGTAATTCTACTACTTCTATTGATTGCGCTAAAGCGGCTGCAAAGAGTTACAAAGTTATGTAAACAATATTTATATTGCATAATAAATACACTTTTTACCTTTCGTCGTTATTACCCAGATGTAAAGACGTCTGTCCTCTCGAATTAGGACAATCGATATGTGCTCCATGGTCTAGAAGCAGTTTAGTACATTCAGCATGACCGTCCACAGCGGCCAGGTGTAATGCCGTGGTTCTTCCGGGTCCCAAAGCTGCCCGCACGTCTGCTCCCGCGTCTAAAAGTAGCTTCATACACGTATCCGAACCCAGTGAGGCTGCCACATGCAAAGGCGTTTCAGTGAAAACCTGTGATTGAAATGTTATGGATTCGCATAAAATCATATAGCTATGCATTGTACAGACTCTTGTTTACGATGTGTGAAGAAAGATGTGGTAAGTGATGACTTTTTATTCTATTGGAGAATGTTTTTTTCTATTGTTTGTCTTTATAATAAATGTTTAACGGCGGAGTATTATTTGAAATATGTTTCCATGGGGAAATTTCAGGAAATTCATATTATCATACATAACTAACAATAACTTTATACAGAAATAATTTACAATTATGGAGGCACTTCTTAATATAGTTCACGTGCAGAATACTTATTACTTTATTAACTAAAAAAATACTTGTAACTTTGTGGTCATTATACCAGTTAACCACTACAAGTAAGCTTGAAATGCTTAAGTTGAGAGTGGTTCAAAACCGTAGCCGAATGGCGGATTCGAACCCACGACTTATTAAGTTTGCAGACAGCAAACTTAATAAGTCGTGGGTTCGAACCTATAACCTTTAGGCTACCTTCGCTTCAGTGACCTTATAAAAATTCCAATTTAATACTTGCTTACAAACGAGTATTTTTCGTCAACAAATCTTAATATTTATAAATTACGTGTCACGTTGTTTATCCGCGATGGACTCCTAAACTACTTAACCGATTTTAATCAAATTTGCACACCGTGTGCAGTTTGGTCCAACTTGAGAGATAGGATAGTTTTTTTGCCCATGAGTGATCCACATTTTTTTTGCGAATTTAAGGATTTTTAATAGGACATGATAAAGGGTCGTCGAAAAGGGCAGAACAAAGTCTGCCTGGCAAGCTAGTAAACAATATTTGGTTGGATTTGAGCTTCCTCAATAGTGGGGAGATTTCGAAAAAGAAAGGTAGCTCCAAGACACTTATGAAGATCTGCTTAATATATATTATTTTCTATGTAGTAAATTTTTTTACCCCGAACTGCAAACGTTATTGACTGTAGGAAATCATAGGTTATGTCCTATTCCGAAATAATAAAATACGTTTAAATTCGTAACATTGACATATTATGGGATTGAAAATATACCATCATCACAATTTCTTGATAATTCGTGTCATTTTTATATTTTTGCTTTTTATATAAAGTTATTATAAACACAAATTTAGTTATTATTGTTTTCTAAACAATAGTTAATTTTTAATAGCTCTTCAAACTTTTTTTTTTTTTTTTTATAGGAAAAGGATGACAAGCGAGCACACAGTCCACCTGATGTTAAGTGGTTGCTGTGGCCCATAGACATCTACATCTATCCTCGATTACGAATCAAAATGCAGATGCGTTGTCACCCGTGAGGACTTAGATGGAATATCTCGTTTCCAGTAAAAAGGGTCTCCGGATCTCTACACTCACCATACGAAACACAGCAGCATTAAGCTGCTATTTGACGCTGGTATTTTGTGAGAGCGTGGTCCTTCTCCGGTCGAGCCGACCCATTCGTGCTATAACTATACTACTAATATAACTGCAGCATGGCTCTACCACGTAAAAAATCTTTTACTAATTAATGTAAACATCCGTAGAGTGGGCCTTAGAGCTATCTGTCAAAAGTGATGATATCTTATATCCTACCATTTTATGACTTAGCCTATCGTAATCCAGCAATTAGCGATTATGAGCTCATTCTGGGCCTTGGATTAGCGGCGTAAGACCATCCACTACCCCATATATGCCGTGGGTTTGTAAGAGGCGATAGAGGTAAACTTAAACAGGGGTACAGGCATCAGTATCTAACAACGAAAATAATTAAAAACTGCGTTTACTAACCCGACTGTTACTGCGGTTACTAAACCTACTTATTACTTTAACGTTATAGAGCTACGCTGCAGTTATGTTATGGTTGCAGTACGAATGCGTCGGCTCAACCGGGGAGGGACCTCGCTTTTACAGAATTGGAGCGTTAATACTGCTGTGTTTCGTATGGTAAGTGTAGAGAACTGAATACCATTTTAACTGGTAGCGAGTGTTTCTATCTTAGTCCTTAGGGGTGACGACAACTCATCTAAATTTTCATTCTTAATCGATGATAGATGTAGGTGTTTATGAGCCAAACATCCACATGCTATCAGCTGGATTTATTGTATACAATATTAGAGGATATAAGCAGTCTACTTATTAGGCTGCAATGAATGAATGAAAAATAAAAGCGGTCTAAGTACGACCCGAAAAGTCCACACGATTAACTTCCCAGTGGAAAGAATAAAAAATATCATATGTTTTAATATTTTATACAATTTTTCAATCGGCACAAAAAACGACTTGACCGATTTTGCTCTGAAATTTAATGAGGTCTAAGTTAGGTACATAGTTATGCGTTAAATTAAACTGGTCCCATGTCAATATCACTCTTTGTTCTCGAGATACACGAGGCGAAAATTGAATCCGAACATACATACCTACATACGTACATATGCACACACGGACATCTTCTTAAAACCATACTATTCGACTCTAAAGACCTTGAAACGTGGAGATATGTTAAAATTTCAATAATGCAAATGCAAAATCGGACCCATTACCATAACTTCCTTCCGAACGTTCTTTGTTTCCGATCACTTTGTTCGAAACGTAAACTTCTATCTAATTTTATCTGTTTAATATCAATAATTTTCCTTGACGTAAGTAGTACTGGGAACAGACGCACCTGCGGTGTGTCAGGGCAGGCGCCCGCCTCTAACAATGCGCTGACAACATCCGGCGCATCGCTCAGCACAGCGTAATGCAGCGGCGAACGCTCGCTGAGGCCCGCATTCACATCAGCGCCGTGGCTTAGTAATACCTAAACAAAATGTTTCCACACTGTTTAATCCATGTTTATCAAAAAAGTTTTCCATTAGAATCTGCTTACCTTGACGCATATTAAAGATTTCGCGCTTGCTGCGCAGTGCAATGGTGTTGCTTTCCTCTCGGTTATTGAATCCCATTTATTTGGATCAGCTCCATGTTCCAATAGTAGTTTTACACAGTCCTCATTAGCAACCAAACAGCTGAGATGTAGACACGTTCTGAAAGTATACATTTAAGTTGAAAACAGTAAGTCATATTATATATATATATTTCATACTAGTCACGAGTAGTATTTTTATAGTACTATATAATATGATAAGAGATATCCGTATGCTGTAGGTATAAAGAAATTCAATTTTTCTTGGGGCCCGAGCCCCATAACATGAAAGTGAAAACGAATTAATTAAGTTTGTTTTTTAATTTTGTGACCTCAAAGTAATCTTTTGTTACAATATATAAAACACTTCGAATGTTATTTAGTACCTATAAAATATTTATATTAACCGCCTCGTTCGCCTAGTGGTTGTAAGTGTCACCGCTGATCATCTGTCCCAAGTTCGAATCCCGGGTCGGGGCGAAATCAGTTATTGGGTTTTCTGTCAAGAAATTCTCAATCAGGAAATTACGCCGCCAATTTCATCTACCCTCGTGCCCCGGAGAGAGATTGGGCGCAGGATGGAACCAACAACTTAACGGCATTACTTGCTGTATAGCCACTGCTCATTGGATGCTATAAAGCCCTGGGTTCTGCGTCTGATCTCTCTTCCGTCGTATTTCGTTGCCGTCCTATCTTGACAGATTTTAACGGAATAAGGGAATAAAAAGTGCACCTATGTTGCGCACACACTTGTGCACTAAGTATATACTATAATCCTGTCTTGCACAGATGGCTAGTCTCTGACAATGGGCCGCCGTGACCGGGAATTCGGTCTTGAGAACATTATTATTATTATTTATTTTCATAAAAAGTTTTGTAAAATAGTATTATGATAAATGTATAGTTTTCAAAATAAATTAAATTATTTTAAGTTATTCAAAATATTCATTTTCTTTGTCAGCCCGTAAGTAATTCACTCCTAAAGATCTCCAATAGTAGTACCGGCGGCTTTATAGAAAGTACACTTTATTCTTCTAATAAGTAGTAAAGGTACCATTCAAATGCTTTACCAACTATAGACGACTACGGCTTATAAAACTATTTATTAGTCATATGTATTAATAGTATGAAACCATATATTCACCTTCCAGCGCCATCTTTACTATTAGGATTAGCACCTAATTTTAATAACTTTGACAGCAACGAGCTTTTTCCTAACCAAGAAGCCCATAACACGGCCGTCTTCATTCTACCATTATTGTCCTCTTGTGATATAAAGTTTATGACATCTTCGTTATGCCCGGAATCCAGTATTGCTAATAATTCCTCTGAAAGTGGCAGCTGTCGCAGCACAAACAGTATATCCTCTGAAAATTAGATGTGTCCAAGTGTTTTATAATATCCGCATTTATCACGAATTTTACGACTGTTTTACAGGTCTTTTACTTTTAATGTCGTTAATCGTAAGAGTACAGTAAATTTTATAGATGAAAAGAAACCGGAGTAGACTAGACGGTACTGTGAATGTGTGTGTTTTGTTGTATTATCGTTGTTGATGAAAACATAATTTCAAAGGTACAATCATCACAGAAACAATCATCAATACTGTACTCTGTATATTTTATTTCAGACCTTAATCACATATAATTAAAGTTGAATTTTACCTAACTCCCAAATGTCTCTAGATGGCTTTACTCGAAGTCGCTCAGCCAGATCGACCCCATGTGTAGATTCATCACTGGATATATACGGTGCATCACCATCCTCCGAATCTTCACTTACTTCGCTCATTCCTCCGCGCCATCGCACGCTACCCTCGCGGTATACCTGCAAATAATTTCCACTTAGAGGTAAAGTAACTAATTTTCTGTGTAGTATGGCGGTGTACGGACATCCACTAACCCATACACATATGATCCCGGTGAGTTTTGTAGGAGGCGACAGTGGGAAACAACCACGATATGAGCAGCAGCGTCTACCTAATAACACCTAGAAAATAAAAAAACTGCAGTTGCCAACCAGCGTGCCGAGCGTGGCAACTATTGACAGTCGAGCCCTCCTCCCCACTACCATGAGGCAACCTTTAGGGGAGGGAAGGCCTATATTCAGCACTAAACTTTTAATAGTCTGTAATATACATAGCATATTAGTCCTCAGGGGTGATAACGCATCTGCATTTTGATTCTTAATCGACGATAGATGTAGATGTCTAAAGGCCACAGCGTCCACTTAAAATCAGGTGGACTGCGTTCTCGTTGGTCACCCTTATTCTATAAAAAAGTGTGTGTTGACGGACTTCACATCATATCTTCTTATTTTTTTATTTCTCAAACACATATTTCATCGTTTAACGCTGAACACGTGGTGAAACGGCACTAGTTGCGAAAACAATTTGAGTGGAGTCGATCGCGGGGATCGAATTCGTTTTTCTCGCATAGTATGAAATTTTACCTCGGCTTATTATTACCCTATTTGGGAATATAATAATTAGTCTTGCCAGAGCTATGTTCATAAGCCTTGAAAAGACATTATCGCTGGTCTTAAGGCCCATAGGTTATTGTTTTCCAGCTGTAAAAGTAGTGTGCTTATAGACTGCTTATCCAAAGACATTTGATATATAATCTTTGAACTAAAAAGATATATACTTACACGAATTGGGTTCTATAGATAGTTGATAATTCTAATCAAGAGCCCTCTTACATTTCCGGCGAACTACGCGAGCGATACTTTCTTTCTCTATTCACTCGCTCGCTCTGATACTATGAGTACGGCGATCAAACGATCTTGATCTTCCAAAGTTTTCTTAGGATGGAGTTAAGTGGATGAAAAATTTTTGGTATGTCATTTTAATGGTCTCTGAGAGTTTTTGCCTAAACATGCATCGGGAGAATGATTATTACTAAATAAATAAACAAGTTATCTATAATTTACTTTGAGCGTATTGTAGTAGAGAAAAAGAACTATTTTTACCAAGTAATTGTTATTTCAAGCAGCGAACGAAAAACATGCGATTTCAACGAGGAAACCTTGTAATTTCGCGTTTTTTTGAAATTCTGCTCTTAAGTAATCGATTGTGACAAATCTAAAAGACAATGGTTGCTGTCAGTAGATATTGAGTGGTGCTGTTTAAGTGTTCAGCCTTTGCAATTACAGTATTTGCTGAAGCTATTCCGTTCACATTTTGAGCGATAACGACTTCTTTGGAATAGCTAGCTCACATGCGGCGTCAGGATTATTTTTAGGCTGGTGCATGTGGGTTTATACTTATGTTAATAACTATTAAAACACAGTTTATAACAGTTAAAATAGCATCTATGCGGCCTATTCTTAATACATTTTAAGCTTTCGAAGTTTACAGTGCAAGTGATACCTTCAAATAGTTATGATGTACACAAAAAGTATCTTATTTTCTATTACCTTCGAAACTTTCTTATTTTCGTTTTCTTTTATTCCTGGTTTCTTTATTCATGTAGACATATAAGTTTAACACTTGGACTCACACTTCAAAATAATAATTTGTAAGTCTAGCTTCTGTGTGAAAAGCGACCCCTGTATGCTTAAATATGGTTATAGTAATATCATTTTGCAGTGAATGGGTCGGCTTGACTGGGAAAGGACGACTCTCGTACAAGAATAATAGCGTGAAATAACAGCATAATGCTGCTGCTTTCCGTAAGTTTAGAGACAAGAACCAAACAAATTTACACCTGTAACGGAACATTATATCTTAGTCCTCAGGACACTGATCAGAGATCGCACATCTGCATTCAACATCGCAAAATTCTTAATGGAAGATAATATTATTAAAGTGGTCTACGTTTCTTGTAAATTGTTTCTTTTTATTTTATTTGTACGAGAGAAATTTGTATGAATTGGCCTTCACTACACTTTTTTATATGGAATAAGGGTGACAAACGAGTACACAGTTCACCCGTTGGTAAATGGATGCTGTGGCCCATATTAAGAATCAAAACACAGATGCGTCGTCACCCGTGAGGACTAAGATGGAATGCCTCGTTTCCAGTAAAAAAGGGTCTCCGGATCTCTACACTCACCATACGAAACACAGCAGTATTAAGCTAGTGTTCTGTGAGAGCGTGGTTCTTCCCTGGTCGAGCCGACCCACGTGCTACAACTACAACCATACTTGTTTTCCATAAATTTATAACTCGTCGTAAATTCTCCTAAAATCATTATAAATAAATAAAAAGTATATCTCATAGGTATATCCTCGACATAGAAAACTTGAAGTTTAGTAAAAATGCAATAATATCGACAATCAGCAATATTATATAAAGTAAAGTTACAGCCTATATACGTCCCACTGCTGGGCACAGGGCTCCGCTCATTCCTGAGAGGGTTTTAGGGCAAGGAATTGTCCGCCGCGCTCCCCCAATGCGTGTGGCGAATATTATATAAATATAGCTAAATATTCTAAAAAATATCAAACATAATATACAACAACATAATACTAGTCACATTACCTGCCAGTTCATTTTTCGTGTTTCGAAAAATAATATGAATTAGATACAAAACTAATACGCGGTTTGTGAAAATAGATTCTCGTTAAAAATAGCCATATTATGATACGGATAACTTTCGGTTACGTTATACATTCCTGAGCATTAGAGATTACCTTTTTCAAGATTCGTATCATTAAATAGTAAGAATTATGTATGTTCACGGCATTGAGTGAACGGCAGAGTCGAGAAGGGACGCCTTAGACAAAAGTTTATCGACCAAATCGGCGATATAGTGAAGATTTAACTGACGAGCATGTATAGGTATATGTATGGAAAGTATTCGAGATAGATGTATAAGGATCGTGCCAAATAAAAGTCCGTAGTCAGCCTACCCCTCTAGTTGACAGACGTGGGTGTTTGTTTTATGTAATTATGTATTTTTCATCTGTTGGGATTGGGGTCTAACACGGATTCATTATAAAAAAAACATGAACTAAAAATATTAAAGTTTGGTATAGGTGGTACCAAGAGCTACAGGAATTACTATTCCAGAAGTCTGGATTGGTACAAAGCACTTGCTTATTTCTGACGCCAAGACTAGCGCACTGTCCCGTCTTTCAATTGAGAAGGGTTAGAGGGCCAAGCTGTGACATATTCCGTCTTATCCCAATAGGGCAGTCGATACCAAGATTGCAATGGCTGCTGTAATCACTTACCCACAAATGAACTAGTGCCTCGATTTTCACTTTAATGTTGTACTAAACGCACACCATGTACCTAACTGTTTTAAACAGAAGAGAAGGAAGAATTCTTACATAACATGTACCTAACTATTTTAAACAGAAGTGAATGAAGAATTCTTACACAACATGTACCTAACTGTTTTAAACAGAAGAGAATGAAGAATTCTTACACAACGTGTACCTAACTGTTTTAAACAGAAGTGAAGAAAGAATTCTTACACAACATGTACCTAACTGTTTTAAACAGAAGAGAAGGAAGAATTCTTACACAACGTGTACCTAACTGTTTTAAACAGAAGTGAAGGAAGAATTCTTACACAATATGTACCTAACTGTTTTAAACAGAAGAGAAGGAAGAATTCTTACATAACATGTACCTAACTGTTTTAAACAGAAGTGAAGAAAGAATTCTTACACAACATGTACCTAACTGTTTTAAACAGAAGTGAAGAAAGAATTCTTACACAACATGTACCTAACTGTTTTAAACAGAAGGAAGGAAGAATTCTTACACAACATGTACCTAACTGTTTTAAACAGAAGAGAAGGAAGAATTCTTACACAACATGTACCTAACTGTTTTAAACAGAAGAGAAGGAAGAATTCTTACACAACATGTATACCTAACTGTTTTAAACAGAAGAGAAGGAAGAATTCTTACACAATATGTACCTAATTGTTTTAAACAGAAGTGAAGGAAGAATTCTTACACAATATGTACCTAACTGTTTTAAACAGAAGAGAAGGAAGAATTCTTACACAACATGTATCCAACTGTTTTAAACAGAAGAGAAGGAAGAATTCTTACACACAACAGTTAGGTACATGTTGTACCTTAGTATCGCTTAGGCTTTTCAAGGGAGAACTTGTGTCGCTTACGATCAGAATACACATTACGCAACAGGACGACGTAAAATTTAAACGAATGAATGAATGAATGCATTTATTCTCTCTTCACAATAGGTATTCTTAATGCTAAGTGTTTACAAAAGTGCCAGACTGGTACCTAACTTGTGAGAGACTGGTGCCTGATGTAGGTTTAAAAAACCTGTATTACAGGTCACCAGGGCTCCCCCCGCGTATAAAGCAACAATCTGAGGAATACAATCAGAAAGGAGAATATAATTAAGTAACTAAAATGAACTGCAATAATTACAAATTTTACATCAATAAGTGTGTACTATGAAAGTGTAGTTGTGCGTGTGAGCTCGTGCAGGCGCGTGCCTTTTGTGTGTGCATGTGTGTGTGTGTGTGTGTGTGTGTGTGTGTGTGTGTGTGTGTGTGTGTGTGTGTTTGTGTGTGGGAATGTGTGTGTGAGTTAGTGTTGTGAGATTTGAGAGAGTTAGTGTGATTGTGGACGTACCTGCTATTGCGTGAGTTAGGACTAACATACTCGTATAATTGCATTTAAACCCAAATAAGGAGAAGAAAGTGTGAAGACTTCGACATTAATATAATTATATGGGTGACTTTAGTAGGTTTTCTGTCGCTTCATAGTCTAAAGTTTTCAGATATTTTGTAAGAACGGATTTGCAGCTCGATTTAGGTAAGGGATAGAAGTTTAGGATATTGTTCAGTTTATTATACATGTATGGTCCTAGGAAACAGAAGAAATTGTGTGAGGTGGCCGAATGGAAGGATTGGGTTCGACAGACAGAACCTTTTCTGCGTTTGTCTTTTAGGAGCTCCGGATCGTATTTACATTGAGAGTGTTTCATTAGGACAGTTTGTACGATGAAAGACTGTCTCACTGTTAGAACGTCCCACTTTCTGTAGAGTTCCACTGTAGGAAAGCAGAACGGGAGACCTGCACTGACTTTTAGGATGGCCCGTTGGGCTCTTTCAACCTCAATTAGGTGGGTTTTAGCTGCACCACCCCATGAGCTGATGCAGTAATCTACAAGTGATTGGCGTAGAGCGTGGTAGACCATCTTGATGATTCGGCAGTCTGCTACGTGTTTAAGAGATTTGAAGATGTAAATGAGCTTGCGTAACCTAGTGACAAGTATCTCAATATGTGGCTTGAAAGTCAGAGTTTGGTCTATTATAATTCCGAGGTATTTGATTTTGTCTGTTTTTTGAATAGCGGGACAATTGCAAATAGTTGGCTCAGAGTTGCAAACATGGGCTGTGATGGAGAGGGAGTGAGGGGGACTTTGGTTCGACCTAAGTGTGAAGGTTATGTATTTTGTTTTATCAGTGTTTAGTGTCAACACATTCTTTTGTAACCAGAGGCAGCACTTAGTAAAACCTCTTTGTGCAAAATCAAAAACCTCCCTCCAACTATTACCACTGAAGAATAGTGCAGTATCGTCGGCAAATGAGAATATTTTTCCATTGTGTAGCTGAAGCTGGCATAAATCGTTGACATATATCAAGAACAGCGTTGGGCTGAGTATGCTACCTTGGGGCAGACCAAATTTGACAATTAACTCTTCACTTATCGCATTCTCTATTCCAACTCTCTGCTTTCTTCCACTCAGAAAGTTTGATATTAACTGCAGAGGTAAGCCTCTCACACCGATTTTTTCCAGCTTGGTTATGAGGTGTGGGATTGGGACTGTGTCAAATGCTTTCGCTAGATCGAGAAATATTGTTAAGCATTTTCTTCTTTCATCCAAGTTGGTTATGACTGAGTTAACAAGCTCATGTACCGCATTATTTGTTGACTTGCCTTGCCGAAATCCGAATTGCGCTGGTGAAAGGAGATTATTTCCCTCCAGGAAATTGATTAAGCGCTTATTTATTAGGCGCTCCAAGATTTTGGACAGTGTGGGTAAGATGGAGATTGGCCTGTAGTTATTGACACAGTCCCTCTCACCACTTTTGTGAATGGGTTTGATGAGTGCTGTTTTGAATGCTGAGGGAAAGATTCCCGTAGACAAAGACAGGTTGCATATATGTGTAATAGGGGGGGGTAAGGATGTGTATATATCTCTTGAGTATTATGCTAGAAATCTGGTCGAGCCCTACTGCACAGTTGTCTCTTAAACCCTGGATCAGCTGGAAAATTTCATCCTCATCCGTAGGTAGCATGACAAATGAATTGATGGGGGATGGATACAAGACGTCAGGTTCAGTAAATTTTCTGTGTCCAGAACGTAATATAATGTCTTCAGCTAGGTTTCGTCCAATATTAGCGAAGAAATAGTTGATGTCGTTTATACTTTTTTCCGGATTTTCGGGAGAGATAAGACAGGATGAGCGATCTACTACCCTATTGGAGCCGGTCAGATTTTTTATGGCTTCCCACAGCTTTTTTTTATTATATTTCGCCTTCTCGATCTCTTGTTTCTCATAATCTCTTTTCGCTTTTTTAAGAAGGGAGTTACAGTAATTCCGGTAGCGTTTGTAAGTTAGTTTGAGTGCTTCATTTTAAGGGTCCTTTTTTTAATTTCTTGTAAAGGTTGTCCCTGTTTTTCATACACCGCATTAATCCTTTGGTAACCCACGGTTTTCTTATAAGTTTTCTTTTAGGCGTTTTAATCAAGGTGGTATTATCCCTTATGGATGTATTTAAATATTTCAGAAACAAATCTGTTGCTAGGTTTGCTTCCACGCAATGAAGAATTTTCTGACATTTAAATCCTTGCATAGTTTTGTCTAATTCCAAAAAGTTAATGCGATAACATGACTTATTTAAGTATTCTGGGCGAGAAGGTTGAGTAAAGCTGACGGCTACACTTTCGTGGTCAGTAATCGATGACTCCAAAATGAAACAAGTAGCCACTAATTTAGTTTTAATTATAATGTGATCCAGGCATGTTCTACCACGAGTGGGCTTGGTGTGTCCTGGAAGCATGCTATGACTCGCCAATACATTTAGGTAGTCATGTGAGCGCTTATCTGAGCTATCCGGGACAATATCTATATTGATGTCGCCACAGAGAATTATGTTTTTATAGTTTTTAAGTTTAGACAGAAGGGAGTCAAGAGAATTTATAAAATCGCCGGTATTAGTTTGGCTAGGTGGTCTATATATGCCAATAACACAGGTTTCGGTATTAAGCCTTAATAGTAGACAATTGGCATCGCTGATTTGGGGTTCTTCAAACGATACCTTTAGGTGTTTATTATAATATATTGCCACTCCCTCGTTCTGGGTTTTATGGGTTGTTGTTTTTATATAATTGTAGTTGTCGAGATTGGGTATGAACTTAGCCGATGGTAACCAACATTCAGAAAGTACTAGTATATCCCAGAATATTTCGGATCTTTGTAGGAATGTAATAAAGTTAGGCATATTACGGTTAATACTACGGATGTTTTGAGAAAGAAGGTTTAGTGTGC